TTCCAAGGTCCAAATCGTGAGGTCAAAATGTTAGTTCCCATGAAAAAGATAACGAACAGTGATCGATCTCATAAAAACTTCAAACAATACAAATCTGTGAACAGGGCATATACACGGACCCTGGAAATTCCAGAGGTGGGATCAGTTATGCCTAGGAGGAGTAACCATTCCCTGTTGAAAGGTCGCACCCCCGTGAGCCCTATGTATTGATCATGTAGACAGAACATTCTATAGTCAAATTTAGTATAAAAACAAAGGTCTAAAATTGTTAGGAAACAAGTCAGCCAAAATACGACACAGTGATAGGTTATATGTGCTAGCAAGGTCATTATAACGATCATAGAATTTACGGAATGCTGACTCTGATTCATACGAATATAAAAACAGGTCGGCTAATAAAGGAGCACAAATAGTGCCTATTGGTATTTCAACAGTTTGTTGGAAGACTTGCTCACCGAAGACTACATAAATGTTGTCAATGAGGAACTTCAGTATCTTTTTAATATCAATTTCAGAGTACTTGTGTGTAGAATCAGAGTGATTTTAACGAAGTAATTTTGTTGATGACCAAACAGAAGATCTGAAAATTTCCAATTTTCGTTCCAAAGAAGGGTCTTGTCAGAAGGAATACACAGGTGGGATATAAAGCCTTAGCATCAACCATTTAAAGGTTATAGCAGGTTATAGTAGAGAGTAATGATTAGATAAAGATTTATGTATGTCAAACACAAAGGTCAATTCCATGAGGTCAAAAATTTTGGTAACCTGAGAAAGGTCTTGTCACGGGAAATACACATGTAAAATATGAAAGCCCTACGAGTGGTGATCAAAATGTTCGCAACATATCTCTGTATCTACATAACCACAATTCAGATCAGAATGAAATTTGGCATACATAGGTCATAAACAGGATCAAGGAATGGCTGTAAAGTTTAACTTGAATCCTAAAAAGCCTTTGTAGTAATATATAGTCAGTTGTGAAGACTTAATGAGGCAAAGGAATTGCCCAAAGTTCAATTAGTAATTGGATGTATTGTTTAAGTGAAGGAAGGGAGATAGTTAAAATCATGTTTGTTCTGGGTGCCCAGTTAAAGTAAGTTTGGAAAGAGAAGTGTCCTTGGTTGATCAATTTGTAATTAAGAATGCCAAGTTACTTAAAACTATTAACAGATCAGATATGATAAGGAGAAAGCGGCCATACTTGATCCACATTGGATACATGGCGCACCCAAGACAAGGGAATATGGTTGTGATGGACACCATGGTCATACTGGGAAAAGATAGCCTAGTCCACCCATCCTTTTGAGGAGATTTGGCAATTTGTGACAAATGGACTATTCTTGTTAATACAAATTACCTGCATGGTAAGAAATATAAGAGCTTATTTTAGGGCTGTTATGGAAAATGTTACGTGACCGCCTGCATGGTTCATGCATGGGCATGGGGTGACATATTTTATTAATACTTTAAATAATGATAAACACTGAAACCCAATTTGATTTCTTTAATGAGCGTTACTCATACATGCAGTTAGTTCGCGTACTTTTTAGCAACCCCTCGTAGTACATTGTATCAACAATTAAGAAGCTATGGCCAAGATTAAAGTTTTTCAAAAGAAGGTCAAATTCCAAGGTTTAGGTCATGAGGCCAAAAATGTTGTAATCCAAAGAAAAGTCTTGCTACAAGGAATACACATATAAAATATAAAAGCCTAAGCATCAACCATTCAAAGATTATAGCCAAGGTTAAGGCTTGGTAATCTTTTTTTCAAAAGTAGGTCAAACTCTAAGGTTATGAGGTCAAAAATGCTCGTACTTTAAGAAAGGTCTTGCCACAAGTTATGACCAAAGTTAATATTTTTGAGATCAAACAAATAGACAGACGAACAAACTTAAATTTATATGCCCATAAAAGTCCACAATCTTCCTGAAATAAACCCATTCAAAATAACTTGCAGCGATAAGTACTATTTTATCACATAAATCACACAGCATATAAAATTTAGAGTACTATATTTTGCCATAGTGCAGTTAATAATCTATTTTTTTTTTAATCCTGCATATATAAACATAATAAATTTCCATGTATACTAGTAATTTTATTAAATAATGAAATATTTTCTTTTGTTAATTCTAGCATAAACGGTTGTGATATTACTAGATGAAATATATGGAGATAACGAACAGTATTCAAGCTCAAAAGTCCATTAAACAATACAAAATAGGAGCAGAGCAAACACGGACCTCTAAACATCAGAGGTGGGATCAGGTGCCATGGAGGAGTGAGCATCCCCTGCCGACTGGTCACACCCGCCGTGTGCTCCTTGTCATGATCGGGAAATAACGGAAAAATCCGTCGACAATTTTGTGTGTAAATAATGGCCTAATAATTAGTATGAAAAACGTCAGTCAGAATTTGACTCAATGATAAATTGTATTTGCTGACAAGGTCATTGTATCGACCATAGAACTTACGAAATGATGACTTTAAACGAGACTGCTGATATTCTTGTTTCATCAACTTGTTTGTCAATAATTTACCTCGTTTTAGAAATTGGTCATACGTAGAGCATGCTCTTGCGTATCGAATCAACTGAGAGATATATACCCCGTATGCCGGTGATGAAGGTATATTGCTGCATAAGTAAGGGAAGTTGACGATTGAAAAGTTAAAGTCATCACGTTTATCATAAAGCTTGGTTGTTAGATTACCATTAACGTCTTTTTCAAGTAAAATATCCAAATATGAAACAGATGTGTCAGACTCTGTGGTATCTTTTATCTCAAGCTCACCAGGATATATCGTATCGACATAAGAATGAAAATAACCATTGTTAATTGACAATACATCGTCGATATATCTAAATGTCGAGTTGAAGGCCACAGCAAGTGTTTTCTTCTTTTCACGTACAATATTTTGTACAAATTCTGCTTCATATGAATACAAAAAAAGGTCTGCTAATAACGGGGCGCAATTGGTACCCATGGGAATTCCAATAGATTGTTGGAAGACCTGGTCTCCAAAAACCACATAGATATTGTCAATCAGAAACTCAAGCATCTTTTTAATGTCAACTTCAGAGTACTTGTGTGTACAATCAGAATGTGTTTTAACAAAATAATTTTGCAAATTTTGCAAATAGATATATATTGTTTTTTCTGCAGATTACAATTCTTAATCCGCGTTTAAACAAAGAAAGAAAGAAATTTCATTAAGGTAGCTCTAAACACTTACATAAAATGCATTTTGGACTTGGAAAAAATATGTCATATAGAGGTGTACATAGTAAGTTTATCTAGTTCATTTCAACATGAGGTACCTACCATATTTCCCCAGGAATAATGTTCAAAGACAATGATGTCTTAGTGAACAGAAATTACTGCTATTTACTTACATTGTGAAAATACATGCAAATAATTTATTCAATTACTTTATCTTGCTCCAACATAATGCTAAGAATATTTTCTTCAGTCCACATTGTGTCTTTTATTGTCAATTTATTCTATCTTGCATCGAATGGCAGACCACTCTAACTGCATAAAAATACCATGGAATTAGTATTCTTCATTAAGCAATATTTAGAGCTTCCTTAATTATGATATTCATATCTGTTTCATTGTTAAACACAATTTCTAAAAAATTGCAATTTCTGGGTCATTTCTTCATAATTTTGAAACGTTATTTGCTTGCATTTTAATTAAAAAACGAGCAAACATTTGTAAAGAAAAATTAGAGAAGACCCAGAGACCATAAAAAATAAACTTTACCCAAAACAATATCATTGTGTAAATGCGTTGCTTCATTGTCGTTTTGAAATCCCTATCGTTTGCGTAACGAATTAAGATAGCTCAGTAGTATGCGTTCACAGTCCAGAACACTCTGAAATCGAGAAGTTTTTGATTTGATCCTTATACGGAGCGTTTATTATTATCATTAACATTATTATAAGGATTTTTACAATCAAGTCATTTTTCAGTTTAATTTTAAATACTAATTAATAAGAATTTGAAAATAAATATTTTTTTTCAGTTGCACCGAGACGAGAGCAAAAGCAATTCTTCCAGCCTACCGAAACGTCAATGTAATTTAGCATTTGACTAAATTCTATTATTTCTCAAAGATGTTTATTATTTATGTGAAGTGTTTCTGTACGCTAAATACGTTCATATTCTTTCTAATTCTGAGATAGCAGCTTGACCACGTGGCAGGGTGAATTTTTTTTTTTTAATTTGAATGATATTTAAGCAAAGAATAGAATCACTGACTTACGCGTAAGCATTTCTAAAAGGGGTATATGATGTAAAAAAAAAAAAGTTCTCCATAGGCACAATAACATCAAACAAGCATTGTAAAATATATCATTTATAAAATCTATTCAATAATGCACCATCTGATATTGTTTTCATTTTGTTTCAGTCGAAGTGTAGTTAAGATAGGTTACAGTGTGTAATTAAGAATGTGAAAATCTGCTTCAAAAAGCATATCATTTTAAGAGATTTTTCAGATTTTGATAAGAACTAGTAAAAGGGGAATATTGTAAGACACATAATTCTGTAAATGGATATTAACATTTTATCATCGTTGTCACTATGAGTGGCAGATAGGAAATTTGTCATTATATGTATCTGAAAGTTTAATTTCCGTTACTCTTCGGTGAAATGAAAAATGTTGAGAATTTTTTTTCTTATTATTGTCAATCAGTAGAACAATAGTTTTTAATTAGTCATGTTGTAATTGCTAGTAATCAATATGTTACTATATAATTATTAAGGGTCTAGACTCTCCCATAACATCATTAGTCTTCTAGCATATACCAAGAAAGATCAATGTATATTTGAATTTAAAAAAAAACTATACCATAATTGAATATATTTTAATATTCATTGATATAAACTAATTTGACAGACGGGGTTATCCACGATAATCAATAATTTTCTATATTTCAAATCATTCCCAATCAAGATCGTTTTAGAATATAGATAAAAAATGCAAAACAGTGATTTCGTTGAACAATTATTTATTCAAGGAAATAAATAAATAAATAAAACAAGAGGAATTCAGTCACCATGGTATGAATGTATGGATATCGCAGTTAATACTCTTTTACCGAATATTCGTGGATTTAATAGGTCTGAAATAAAAAAAAATACATATTTAAATAAAAATAAATCACTGTGAAAATATTTAAAACATTGTTCAAGAGTCATTGACGAGAAAAAGTATATTACACCTTACTTACCTTTCTACGAGGAATGATGTTGCCGATAATTCCAGATGTTCTCCTGATAATTTGGCCATCACTGAATCCTTGGGATCCTACAACAGCAGCTGAGGCAGCGGACGCACCGTTTGGAACAGCTGCCGCAGCCGCCGCAGAAGATGCAGAGGTTTGACCGACCACAGGATTTTGAGGATAGTATACACCTTGACCTGGATGAATTACTGGACCCCCGAATGTATTTGGAAATTCCGGTCCAATAACTCCGTCCATTCTTATTCCAGATCCAATGTTGGCACTTGAAGCAGCAGCAGACGCAAGTGAGGTGGAACCGCCTATAGCAGCAGAAGAAGCAGATGCTCCAGTATTCTGACCAAAGACATTATTGGTAGGAAATTGAACACTTGGGATTGGTTGTAAAACTGGAACACCGACATTACTTGTAAATTGGGGTCCTAAGACAGCTCCCATTCCGATTCCAGATCCATGTGTGGCACCTGAAGCTAGTCCTGTTGCAGCTGAGGAGGCTGCAGCACCCTGCAGTGAAGTAGCTGAAGCAGTAACCCCAGAGGTCTGACCAAGAATCTGGTTAGTTGGATAATGTACACTTGGGATTGGTTGCACCAGTGGTCCAGATGGATAATTGATTCGGGATACCTGATGACCAATAGGTCCGTTGTAAGGTGCCGTAGCTTGAAATCCAGTATTTCCAAGGAAAGCGGTTCTCTCAGCTTCAGAGGTCACTGCTGTAGCAGCAGCTGCAGCAGCAGGGTTTACTCCATTAAATCCAAATCCACTGTTCAGGCCAATAACGCCTGGGTGTCCAGCAAACCCTCTATTACCGGAAACAGCTGAAGCGGAAGCAGTCGCATCAAAACCACTTGTTGCGGCTGAGGAAGCAGAAGCGGCGGCGTTTCTTCCATCAAACCCCACAAAGCGAGCATCAAATCCATTGTTACTGACACCTCCAATGATTCCTTGTTGTTGAATAACGTGTGTTCCTTGAGAACATCCGAAATGTCCACATCCTGATTTTGGATAGTAATCCTTCTGAACAGGGATTGCAGATATTCCAGCAAGAACACAGAGGATGACTACAGCATGGATCATCTGACGAACGAGACATAGATATCTCTTAATAACATTTTAAATCATATATGTATATCGTTACAGTAAATTTACCTGATATATTCGAATATTTTACAATCTGAGGATTAACAATTTTTTTTTACAACGGCTAAAATCACAGCTGGTTATAAACTGACAGTAAATCACTAAAAATGAACCAAAATAGGAAATATTAATATGGGAAGAAACAGATATGAATAAGATGAAGATTTGAAATATACAAAATCACAGAAAAGTTTCCATCACAAAAGAATACGGGAAAATAGGGATAAATATGTTAACTTAATAACAATATTTGACTAAGTTTTTTTTTTTTATCTAAATGGTTATTTGAGCCAAATAGTAAACTATGTACTAATGAAAAAGGCAACCTTTTTATTGATATGTAGACCCCAAAAGCTACTATGTGGCAAAAGGATCGAGTTCCACAATTTAAAATCCAAAATCTATACAAAAACTTAACCATCTAAGAAGACTTATCGATATCAAAACTGATTAAATGGAAATTATGCTGAAAGTGATTTAACCATTCTATGTTTAAAGGAGGGACAATGACAAAAAAATTCGAAGGATTTCTTGATCAGTATAAATTAAAAATGCTAAAGTTTGTCTTACTGTATATGATTGAACTACATGTATTCTCAAAATGTCAGAAATACTATAAAAATACTTCAAATTTAAAATTTTGAATGTTTAATTCTTAAAACTGAATTAATTATTTTGAATAAATTGGCATTTGCATAATACCGAATAATGCTAGATTTTTACATAGTTATTGTATTCTGAGTATATCAAATATTTTTTTAATGCAATTCTGTTTCCATTTTTAAGGTCATATTCATGTAAAATCATTAATTTTTTTTTGTATGCTATATAATTTTGCAAAATCTTTACATTCATTAACCTAGCATTTATTAATACTTCTACAACTTTTAAAATTTAAATTTTTTCAAAATTTTTAAAATGTTGTTTTTATAACGTGAAAAATGAAGCACCAATCGAAATAAAACTATAAAAACTGCTTTCGTTAATGATATAATTTTTAAAAATATCCTTCTTGATTACTATCTATTTTAAATCCTACCTTGAGACCGATGTTTAGCTATTCGTCAGGACCTGGACGATAAGTACTGCTTTCCTAAATGTGTGCCTTATTTATACTAACTTTTAGTTGCGTAATAAGGAAGAAAATTCATTTTGTGATTACTCAGTAAATTTTAATTGATATCATTGGATCATTCTGATTAGTTGATGAGGTCATTTTGGTGTAGACAACGGTTGGATTATTCCTACTATTGTCAATGTATAGCATTCCTTCACGAATAAAGAAAGGCTTCAGATTATTTTAACTTTAAAAAATTTAATATTTAGTTAAAATATTAAGTACATAAAACATAGAAAATAACCACTTTTTCAATTTTTTTATATGAAGTATTAGAGTAAATTTATAAATCTCCTCGAGGATTCGAGTGCATAATGAAAAGTACGATTATATTTCTCGGTAAAATTTGTAAAGTTCGATGCATGTTAATATAGAGATAGATTATGTAAATTGTTGAATCTGATTTTATTAATAATGCCTTTGATTTCTTAATATGTCATGATATTGTTTTACTATGGTACAGACATTTTAAGAATGTTCAACACGTTCTTGGTTTAAGATATAACTGACATTGACAAAATTAAACCAAATTTGACATAGCCTAATTTGTGTCTTGACAAAATATAATTGTTTGTGCGTATGTAACTTTTATTTTCAAATTCAAGTATATGATATTTAGTTGGAGTAGGGTAGAAAGATTCAAGGATTCATTTTCCCAAATTAGTTTTGACAATGTGTTGGCAATTGTAATCTGAAAGCAAACACAAGAGTTTTACGTATGCATAGTGATTCACAGTGATAAAATTTTTCCCGTGAAGTTCACTTTCTGATGAAACAGCTATTCATTGTAAGAGAGATGTAAACTTTGTGGTCGGAGGTTAAAAAAAGTAGAAATCTCATTAAATTCTTTCCTTGTTACATTAAAAGCTAATTAACATACAATAAGTGAAATGACTTGATCAGCAATAAAGCTTTAGGAATTTCAAGAAATTCAATCAAAAACCTAAAAAAAAATAAAGATATTAAAAGATAAACAATAAAAGAAAACACATATAGAAATAACTATTTAAATTGTATAAGCTGGTCACTAAGATAGTTAAATATACTATTCGCAATTCCACACAGATGCTAACAGTAATAGATAACATGATTAAAAAAAAACACAGTGCATTATCACCAAACTATAGAAAGTAACAAGTAACGTTTAAAATGTAATTCGTTAATTCACTACGTAACATGCTATATCTTTCCTTATTCTATGTAACTTTCTATGTAACTTTCGATGCAATTATTGCCTAAGCAAATATTCAGATATTAGTTTTGGGTCATTACACTGTTTCAAGGAGATCAAAAAGTAAAAATCTATGTCTGATCTACCGATGTGTTCATTAGAAATAAATAAAAATAAATAATTTCAAAATGGACATTAAAAAATTTCATATGGTAAGAAGATTGTCATGATTCTTATATGATGTTGCGATCTGAAATGATTCAGGAGTGTTATTATTTAAAGCAAATCTTTAACTATTTAAAAAGTACCCTTCCGATAATAAAAGTACAGTTATAAAGTATTATGTGCTAAAATTTGTCTGCAATACAACTTTTTTCATGCTGGGGTTTTTTGTTATTCAGAACTCCCTCCACTTCATTACCCTTAATACACTTATAAAAAAGTGGTTTTTGGACATTGAGAAATTATTTAGTATAAAGTCTAAATATTTAGTTATATATTTCATTTTCACTATAGGGTATCTACTATTTACCCCCGGGAATAAAATGTTCAAAGTTAACACAGTATTGATGTTGCTGACTTATGTGGGGAAAATACATGCAAATAGTATACTGAGTATTAAAAAAAAACTTTTTCTTGCCTGAATGTCAAGATAGCTATATTGATAACAAATTGAGCATTTCACTTGAGATTTTAATCTATCATATTTTGATATAAGGTCTGATCAATTTATCTGCTTTCAAATACTTATAGCTAAAATACCACGAAGATCTTTAGTGTGCAGTATTTAGAAGGTCCTTAATTTCTAAAATGAGAACTTTATGCAATGGAATAGTTAAAGGATCGAGTAAATACGAGGTATACGATTCTAATGATAATTAATAATTAATTAGATATTGGCAAACAGAAATTTATATTTGTCACATTTTCTCACATTAAATCATTCTTATCAAATGATGTAAATGAATTCATAATAAAAATAGATTAATGCCTAATATTAATTGAATCGGTGATAATGCTTATGATTGAAATTAATTATAAATTCAAACTTCACTCTCTCTCTATTTTTTTCCTTGGGGAATTCGAGATATTGCCAATCATCGTTGATAGGACACTACATGATTTATGAATATTTGTCATCACTTCATTTGCAAAAATTACTTCTCGGTTGCCCGTCACATCTTTTTCCCTAATATTGTCATCCAGTATCATTCAAAATTATTAACTTCTTCAGTAGGGAATGTTCTGTTCAAGAAGTGATGCTTTAAATAGACCATGTTGTTAATTACAAATTATCATTACATTTATGATTAGTCATAGGGATCACTTTATAATTTTATTTAATATCCACAATAAGTAATAAAATGTTGCTTTATCCTCCAAAGGATAAAACCAATTTAATATTATAAACATGTAAACTTTTCTGATTAGAGTATTTTTTGTGTTTGTAGAGGCTCTTTGGATATTTTTTGTTGTTGTTTTCATAGTTTTTATTTCAGTTGTTAACGTCACGGTGGCTCAGTCGCTAGAGCGTTCGATCCGTGAGCTGAAGGTCGTGCGTTCGAATCAAGGCCGCGACTGACCTAAGTCGATGAAAAATTGGTAGCAACTGTTCCTTCGCCAAGCGCTCAGCATTCGGAGTAAAAGTTGCGGGTCTTTCGGATGAGACCTTAAAATCCGAGGCCCCGTATCACGGTAGGCGTTGGCAAGATAAAGAATCCCCCACTGCTCAATGGCTCTGAGTGCCGAGTAAAGGTCTAAATATGAAGCCCTTCACTGGTATATGGTGACGTTTCTATATGAGTGAAAAGTTCTCGAACTGGACGTAAAACAACACTCGATCAATCAATCATAATTCAGTTGTTTATTTTTATTCTGTTTTTATTGCTGGACTGTTTATTTATTTATTTGTTAACTTTTGTTAACACAGATTAAATTTGATAAGCTATATGTTCTTTTAATTGTAGACGCGACGATAGTTATCAAAGACATTAAATAATGAATGACCTGGCCAAGTTGTGCATCGTTGAATTAATTTTTCCCCATTACTACAGGTATATTTAGCTGTGGACACGTTCTCTGGCAACGCTCAGTGAATTTCCTGGAACTATTTTCCTGATTCTGCCAACATGAATATTATGTAACAAGGAAAACTTTTAGTGAGATTTCTACTCTTTGGTAACATCAAACCACAAAATTAAATTTTCTGTAGGAACGAACATCTGTTTACTCAGAACGTGAACATTACAACATAAAACTCCCCGTTATTATGCATTGCAAAAAGTCTCGTGTTTGTGTTCAAGTAACAACTGCCGACATATTGTCAAATCTAAGGTGTTTTTTATTATCATGAGGTCATATCATTTTCCCTCCTTGTGCTATGTATTTGTCAAGTCCTGGTGTTTCATAAACTGTTTTGCACATTGAACAAGAACTAGTAGGAAAAAAAAGTATGAAATTTAAATTTTAATGCATCTTTTAGCCTGAAAACTGAAAAAAAGACTTCTAACGTATTACTGTGAAATCATAATTTTCGTATGAGACCAATTTTTTGATGTTTATTGATTTCGCGGTTACCTTTAGCCGCGAATGTACATCTGCACAAACTATGTATGTGAACATCTCAGTTGATGGAATCTTCTCTAAATAGGGGTTTATTCACGAAATTAAATTCCCACGAACTAGTAATATTTTTATATGCCCACAAACATTACCACTTATACGAGCCTGGTCTCGGATAAGTGAGTTTATTTCAGTAACCCTAGTAGTATTTATCTATTCCGGATAAGTTGCGTACATTCGGATAAAGATAAATTTTCACCCTTAGTCACAAGCTATCATTCCGGATAATTGAGGTCCATTCGTATATAGTCTATTAATAAGTTCTCTTCTACCTCCTTTCTCAAAGAATCGATTAAACGGTAAGGTCATGGAAAATTTTTGGGAGTTAAATTGTGGCAATGTTTTAAATTTTACCCACCCACCCTCCTCTTGTTTTTAGAACAAATACTGCTGCTTTTTGTTATGTCATTGTAGCTGAAGACTGCCTGCTTCATCCAGCTTCCACAACAGCCTGTGTCGCGGTGGTGGATTATGTGTGTTCGCATATTCCGTAAGGACAGCTTGCTTGGTCCAACACCTACATCAGCCTACGTGGCGATGGTGAATTTTGTGTGTTTGCGTATTCCGTAAATACAGCCTGATCGATCCAGCGTCCACATCAGCCTATGTGAAGGTGGTGAATTCTGTGTGTTTGCATATTCCGTGATGACTACCTGCTGGGTACAGCGTCCACTTCAACCGATGTCGCGGTGGTAATTCTGTGTGTTAGCGTATTCCGTCGCACCTCAACGCAACTGGAGGAGTGCAACACATATTCTTACGCTCATTCCATTGTTTATCCTATTGCACATGTAAATTGAAATTCAGGATTTGAATTTGTGCATTGGCTTGTAATTGACAAGCAGTTGACTTGATTGATCTTGAATTGATTGATTGATTGAATTTGATTGATTGATTGATTGAACTTGATTGATAATTGAATTGGTGACGTTCATGCACTTGTGACCTACCCAGTGCATGATCAGCCCGATTTGGGTCGTCACATTTGTTGTATTGATTGTTGATTGTGGGGCAGCCCTGTGGTAGCCCCAGCAAATTGATCACCGCGGCCAGAAGCGCCAAATTAAACAAGCAAAATAATATCTGTTGTTTGTTTGATTAATAGGGAATCTGCAATAATGACCCCAACGAATTAAACTGATTGCACAGTACACATAT